CGAAACTGGTGGAAGAAAAAGGCGAGCTCAGAGTGTCTTCAAACATGTATATATCTCCATGTGTACCTAGAACCCATTGGACCCCCTGTTTCAATAGGTGGTTGGTGGTGGTTGGTGATCGTATATTTACGTACACTGTAACCCAGAACATGACTGTTTGTCAATCTAAACATGTGTGGGAACCAAAAGGCCTTTGGCTTGCTTTTGTCGCTCCTTTTTTGTTGGGGTGTATCAAGTCGGTGTTCGTTGAGTCTCTTGGTCAAGTTGATGCATTTGCAGTACCAAGACATTGGTCCAACCCCCGAATTTCTACAGCTGCTCCCTGCTGCGCTAGCGACGATCTTCCAGAATCGTTAGACTGTCTTGGCACATAACGACTGGCCTGGCCTTGCGGGGCATTGAAAGGCCTTGCGGCGCAAGCAATGAACACAGAACAATGGAAAAAACAAACACTGAACAAAACACAACTAAAATAGTTTAAACACAAAAAACGTATAAGTATATTACGGTATATTATATACGTACCTGTTTGAAGTTCAGTCACACGTGTGGCTTCCGAGTCGGCGACTCCTTTTTCTCGTTCTTCCACCCCAATCGGCGGCAAGGCGTTCTGGAACGGACCCCAAATCCGAGAAAAGATCGCAGCAGAAATATTTGCTTGAATTGATCGGACCTGAGATCCCTGATCCATCGCAATCACTCACAGCGGGCGTGTAGCTCAGTGTAGCGTCGCGCAGGCGTAAGCCGACCTGTGGCGGGTTCGCTTCGGAACATCGAGTGGACTCCGAGTGGACCAGGCCCATCTCCCCACATTCCGCGAAAGGCGTTCCAACAGAGGTGGGTCAGAACCCGACTGTTCGACTATCCGGGTACCCCAGTGAGGTCCTAAAAACACGGTCACTGACTTAACCTCTCTTGGTTCCACCAGTCCAAACGTCCAGCACCTTTGGGGTTTTCCACCACCAATCGACCGTGATGGACCGTGGCAGTTCGGAGTCGGTGCCGACGGTCGGATAGATAGAGACATCGAGAGCTGGCCATTCGAGAACGGGTGCATGGTGACTGCTGGTTTTGGAGATGGTTCTGATGTCGGACTGAGGCCTTGCAACTCTTTGAGAACATGCCCTTGTTGAAGGTGAAGCCAGAAATCATCAGCTACAATGCAGCCATCAGTGCATTACAGAAGGGTGGGCAGTATACTCAAGCTGTGAAACTCTTTGAACAAATGCCGTCTGCAAGCATCAAGCCCAATGTCATCAGCTACAATGCCACCATCAGCGCTTGCGAAAAGTGGGGCAATTGGCAAGAAGCAGCGAGGTTGTTTACAGCAATGCCGGAAGCAAAGATTATTCCCAACAATATTAGCTACAATTCAACAATCAGTGCATATGAAAAGGGCTGGCAATGGGAGCATGCACTGGAGTTGCTTGAGGACATGACCAGGGCAACCATTCCACCAAATATCATAAGCTATAGCGCGGCCATCAGTGCTTGTGAGAAGCTTGGGCAATGGCAACAAGCATTGAAGCTGTTCGAAGCGATGGGCGAAGCAAGTATTCAGCCCGAGGTGATTTGCTACAATTCAACCATCAGTGCCTGCGAAAAGGGCAAGGAATGGCGAGCTGCCTTGGAATTATTGGAATCTATGCACAGTCAGAGGGTTGAGCCAGACGTGATCAGTTACAGTGCCGCCATTAGTGCTTGTGAGAAGGGTGAGGAGTCCCAGAAAGCATTGCAGTTGTTTGAAGCCATGCTTCACGCCAAAATTCCACCAAATGCCTTCAGTTTCAGTGCGACCATCAGTGCCTGTGAGAAGGGTTCACAATGGCAGCAGGCCTTATCGTTGTTTGAGGAGATGCCCCATGTGAACGTGAAGCCCGAGGTGGTCAGTTTCAGTGCAACGATCAGTGCCTGTGAGAAGGGTGGGCAATGGCAGCAAGCCTTGAAGTTGCTTGAATCCATGCCCAGGGCCAAAGTGAAACCCAATGTCATCACTTACAGTTCAACCATCAGTGCATGTGCAAAGCTTGGACAATGGCAACAAGCGTTGAAATTGTTCGAAGAGATGCCTGCAGCAGAGATCTTGCCCAATGCTTATAGTTTCCCAGGATTGCTTAATAAAGGGATTACAAATGGTTGTATGATTGTTCGGAAATGGCCGCAACTAGACACCTCGCGCATTTGAATTTAGTGTGCTTTGTCTATTTCATGTATCAAATTAGAAGGGATCGAATGAACCGGGCGGGGGCAAAACGAATCTTGACTTGACCTGGAGAGTAATTGTTTCAGTTTGCAGGTGATCCTACTATAGTACAAATTCTTCATTCTTGGTGTCAAATCCAAGGTTTTCAAGCAGCAATCACTGCATGCCACACTGGAGGGCAGCCTCAAAGGGGCTTGATGCTCTTTCGGGCCATGGAACGCGCAAAGATTCAACCCAACGTGCTGAGCTACAATGCTGTGATCAGTGCCTGTGAGAAGAGCCGAGACCATGAGACACTCAGCAGACAAGCCAGCAACTGATTAGAGGTTGACCAAAGGCCCTGTTCATGGGAGAATGGGTTTGAGGGGTCCAATAAGTGTTTTTTAAGGTTCCTCAAAGAAGGTACTGAGAGGAACCATATCAATAAGGTCACTTTGAGGGGTCCAAAAGTGTCTTAAGATTCTTCAAAGTGACCTTATTGATGCGGTTTTACTATGTTTTACTGGTCGAGCCAGCATGCTGGTTGAGGTCACTGGCCGGGATCATTTGAAGGGCGGCTCAAAACGAAAAAGACCTGGCAGGTTCTTAGCTATTTTTTGTCGGATCAAGGTTGGCTTGGCTACTAGTAGCTGAGGACTGCCATGATGTTATTCGAGAACATGCCGAAAGCACAAGTGCAGCCTGACATCATCAGTGACAACGCCGCGATCAGTTCTTGTGAGAAGGCTGGAGAATGGCAGGAGGCCTTGGTGTTGCTGGAAGGTATGTCTGAAAAGCAGACGAAACCGAATGTGATTAGCTGCTCGCATCATTGATCTAGATCAGCTTCATATGTTGTTTATTTGTTGTGTCAATAGAATACTATACATACAGAGCCTATATAGACATCTATAGACCAAGATACGTGAATGTTTAATAACCACCGCCCTGTCTGTGAATGAACATGTTGCCACGCTCGGCCATCTTCCGCGCAGTCACGGTCTTGAAACCTCGGCAGTCACGAGCCGTTTACCTCGTTTTCAGCTGGGCTTCAGTTGCGGGAAATGGCCCTCTTAAGCCTGCTGCGGCTCAGGCTTTAATGCAGCCATTGGCGCCTGTAAGCAGGGCGAGGCATGGGAACACGCCCTGAAGTTGTTTGAGACTTGGAAGGTCGAATTGCTTCGCTTCGCTCTTTCCGTTGCAGCTGAACTCACCGAAACTAGCTTTTTTCAAGCATGCTCGACCAGTTTGCGAGAAACACACGGAGCACCGAAACGTGGGGATGACGATAGCACCATGTATTTGTTTGGCAAGTCATCCCAAGAACCATCTACACTTTTAAGCTGCATTGTTTCTGCCATGGTTGCTTTGCAGCTTTTAACATGTGGGGTTCTCCGGTCCTATCCTTTGGGGTCGCATGGTTTTAGGACCACCGTGACCACCGTTCGGACCCTGGTGCCGTTCCGTTGCCGTCGTTTGGTCGTACCGAGAGAACTGCAACGTGAGGACACGATGGATGCTGACGGCACCGAGAGGGATCAGACGACCTACAACGAGCCATGGCTTTGCCTTGTTTTGTTTTCTCTTTTGAGGAGCAAGGAAGCTAGGAACCAAGGGCATAGGAACAGGGAGCGATCCGACGCGATGTCCCGGGCTCCTGGTCCAGACGAAACTCAGAACACCTGAAGATCGACCTGTTCGCACGGAAAATGGGTAGTATTCGTCTTAGTTCCTATGGATCCACATACCTTCTCAGAAGGTGATTGGACCCTCCTGGCGCCTACATAAATAGTCTCCGACAGAGATTTTCCAGGGTCTGAACGAAGTCGGCACTTCTCACCCAGTCCCCCGCCACGCGCGCCACCGTGGCGGCACCGTGGTTCCACGGTGGGGGTCGGTAGAACCAGGGTGTCGTCACGCAGAGACTGGGTTGGTCAGAGACCGGGTGAACATGTTTCCCAGGAAACCTTCAACAGTCCAACATCACGATTTTGGAGATGAAAAGGCCAACCTAATTAAGCATCATCCAAAACGGGCCCAGGGAGTGGGACGTCTCCAACGAAGGTGGATGACGACTTGATCCCAAAGACTCCATTGGACTGTCATGTTTACTGATCACGTCACATGGGGTGCGAAAGGAAAGGGGTGAATTGATCGGCATATATTGCCCCATGGAGCTGAAAACGGATGATGATATCCCTGGAACCCCAAAGTAGAAGCAAATGGGTCCCCAAACAGCCACATTGGAACAACCATGTTCGTTCTGGTTTGGACTGGGTTTGGGTCTAGGTCTGGGTCGCTGGAGGCACAGATCATGACACCCAAGTCATGAAGCAACGAACAGAATCAAACGGCAACAGCAAACCAGAAAGCATGTCGTACCTTTCGCGTTTCGCGAAGCTGCGAAGCTGCGAAGCTGCGAAGCTGCGATGTCATCGCAGGAGCTCTTGGATAGTTTGTGGATCCACGACGAAGAGCTGGGGTACCAGATCTTCCTCTCCTGCCCGTGGCTTGGACTGGCACATGTGGGTCCACAGTGCGGAAACCTGAAAGACCATCAGTCATCAGTGTTGGAACCTGGACGGTCGAAAAGGATGCTGTTAAGGGGGGTTCTGGCCATGAGGCATTGATGTCATGGAAGGCATACAGTCTTGGGATGGGTTGGTTGATGAATAGAGGGGAGACCTACAAGTGAACAACCAATAGTATGGTATACTTGCCGAGTCAGTTGACAACTTTTAAGTGCTTTTGGATATGCTTTTGGAGGTTGGTTTTCCCTCTCGAAACCAACAGGTGGAAAGTTTGGTTAACCTAGTTTTCCAAGAAGACGGCTCGGGAGTCAGTTCCAACATGCCCCCAATCTTGAAACACCGGGAAATATGATATCACTGGTATCAGCCCCTTTAATATTCCAAAAGGTCAGACATGGGTGCGTATTTTCAAAATCACGACTTCAACCAAGGGGCTTTGGTCTATTTCCCTGCGTGCACGAGATCTTTGGAAGGTCGCCCTATTTGAGCTATACACCCATGTGTAGTGTATGCCAGACCATCCATGGGACATGAATAAATACGTCACCATGGATGGGTCAATTTCATGGGGCTTACGTGTATGTGACTACTTCCCCTAAATTGATTGATGTCGTCCACTCGCCCACAAGGCCGTTTGGGCAACCAAAGCGCGAACTCGTGGTCACGGCGTGGTCACGGCGTGGGCAATTCCACCGTCGCCGGGTAAAACCGAAATAAACCATGGATTTGTTCCATTCGATTTCAGTGGACAAACCCTACTGTCAGACACCAGGATTTCGGGTCCACGCTGCAGTGCAAAACGGCTTTCTTTTCAATGGATGATTGCATTCTATGGCTGAAATCAAGATGATGGCCTAAACTAGCAGGGCTTAGGTGACAGATGTTGGATTCGTTTCGTTTCACCCAATGTTCCTTCAAAGCACGGCCCATTTCACTAACAGAAGAACTCCTTATTATATATAATTCATCACTAACAGAAGAACTCCATAAAGTATAATTCATCTTCATCCCTATGGATCGATTCTCTCCGGATCGGAGGCTACCACAGTATCAGCACTTGCGGGCCGCTGACGCCTCCTACATCGATCTCCATCGACTCTCCGAGGGCTCCGCCCCTCGGCGCGGTCCGCGGAGCGGGACGTTTCCGAGCTGAGGGAACGGTACCCTAGGGCTCCAAGTACTTCTTCAGAAGGTATTTGGACCCCTCAAACCCACCCCAGTCCCACCATCTGAGGAAGTATTGGGAGCCCTACTAGGGTGAGTGATTGTCCTCATCTTTGTGCCAGCAATTTTGACACACTTCATTCGGTTGATCCCCCGACTTCGCCCGCAGCCCCACGCGTCTCACTGGGAGTGAGAAAAGATACACGGCGATCATCGACTCCGTGAGAAAACGGCCCAGCGGAACAAAACAACCATCTGAGGCGCTCGAAAAAAATGCAATACCCAGACACATATATGCCGATCAGTTGGGGTGGTGCCAGGGGGGTCAATGTAGGCATATATGACAGACATGGAGTGTCTGGGATAGATTATTGATAAACAATGTAAATGTCTCATGTTTGTTATTCTTTTTTCGGTCACCATCCAATTGTGTTTGCTTTGCGTTTTCTTGAGCACTTTGAAAGTGGTGAACCATTGTTGACCCCCTGATAATCCATTCATGTTTGGGTGTGATTTGTGTTCAGTGTTGACCCATGTTGGCCCCCTTTTTGTCCAACAAACACGCAGGTGAAACAAATTTGCAATGTGTGTTTTTGCTTTCCGCCTTTTCATGAGTGTTGAAAGGGAGTCATACTTCAGCGCATGTTGCCCTGATGTGCAGATGTGTGGGATCTCCACAGAATCAGCAGCGATTCACCCAACTCACTTTCTGGACAGGAACTTCCTTTAGAAAGTCCAGCACTTCTGAATAGAAGAGTTACCAGGAACTTATTTGGTAGCTTATAGAAAGTTGGTTGAACTTCCATTACCTATTTGGTCACTCTTAATAGAAAGTCCAGGAACTTCCTTTAGTTTGGCTACCAACTTCTTAATAACTGCCCAGCCCTTCGTGAACTCGTGCCGACCAACGCGTTGTGCGAGGCCTGCCTGGCCTTGCGCCACTGGTTGTCCACCACGGTGGCCAAGCAACTGGAGCGGCCTCCCCCGCCGCCTGGCGGTCGCAGCGGTCGGGAGCAGATGACCTGCATTGTGGTGACCGGTCAAGGCGAGCGAGCGAGCGAGCGCGCGGCGCCGGTCATGGAGCGCGATCAACGTTGTTATAACTTGACGGTCGGCCGACGACTGCAGGGAGTGAAACACCGTCACCACGTCTTTTTGAGTGTTTCCTTTTTTAATTTGGATTCACCAGATGCCAGTGCTTCATGGCAAACAAGAAAAGCTGGTCCTGTGGAGCAACCACATGACTCAAAAGCTACGTATAGTAGCAACACTCCAGTCACCCCATGCAGAAAGATCCCCACGGTCACGCACTCCAGTCACGCACCCACTGAAGTCTCCAAGTGTTCGGCTTTTCAACCAGACCGTCGGGATGACGGAAGAGGTGCAAAAAGCGTGTTCTTCCTCATGAAAATGATTTTCTCATATTTTCTCATCATAGGTAACTGGTAACTCTTCCCAGTCTCATTCATGTGGTTTGCGTGGTGCTATGGTCTGACTCGGTCTCCACCAACCGCCCATCCCGCAACCTCCACCGAAACACCGTCCATCGCGGGATAGCCTCGCGTCGCTCGAGGCAAGTCCCGAAACTACTGGCAGCGCTCAGACGTGCGGGGCGCTGCGATGGACCTGTGGCGCGGATGGGATGCGATCGATCGAGACGCGTCGGTCCGGAGGCGTCGCGGGAGCTCTGTGTCTTGAGGGTTTCGTGGTCGTTGGCATTTGGAAAAGGTGCCCAGACCGCCCAATTGTCCACGCCATGTATGGAATAAAAAAGTTGTGTGGTGATGATATGCTATCATTTGCCCCATTGGTGACCCTAAAGAAAGTAACTCTGTCAAGATGGTTTTTTTGGGGTGTTTGGATGGTTTGGTGAGTGGCCAGCACGTGCGCACTGCCAAAACGCTGCCGCGAGAATCGATTCGAAGGACAACGTGGTAGCGAGCGTCCAGCAAACCTCCCATCGCAAAGAAAGCATGGACAACGAGTTTAAAGCATGGAAAAGTGTAGGGTGCCCATTGGACACCCCTTGGATGGTCCAGGTTTGTTCTATAGCAATGCCAGCACCCGACTCTACAGGTCACCACCTGCGACTTTTGAGTCTCCAAAAGCCACCAGAGCAGACCTGTTGGAGGGTGCAGGTACCTAGAACCATCCTGGACCATCCAAGGGGTGCCCAATGGACTACCCTACACTGCTGAATCTTCTTTGGACACCTCCTGATGGTCCAATGGTCCTGTCCAATTCGTTTTTGGAAATGGTTATCCCAATTGAAGTACCAATAAGGATGAGTTAAAACACCAACCACACACAGACGAAAAGGAGGGATTGTGATTGTGTAGTTCCTTCAAAAAAGGAACGAACATGGACCACGTGAACAAGATGTTCGCTTTCAAAACAAGTGGTGAATAGTATGTGTGTGTGTGTGTCCTTGTTGGGATGTTCATGATCGAACTCCACCTCATGGAAAGAGGGACCCCCAAGTGCAATCGAAGAGATGTTGGACCTATTCTTGCTGAACCGTGAGGGTCACCTCATTTTACTCAATTTGGTCATACAAACACACTACCCAAGGAGGCAAAAGACCCGGTTTTAGTGGGTCTTTGGATTTGTTTTAGTGGGGCTTTGGACTTGTAGAGGGAAGAGTAGCAATGCAATACACCGTATATAGCGCTTGGCGCTTGGAGAGAGGAGTTGCCATCTTCACATGTGGCAAACGTTGGGGTGATCCACAGTCCAGTGCCGAGCCGTGGCCGAGGTCGGGTGTCGTCCGGTGTCGAGTCCACGTGTGGTCCGCGAAGCAAAAGGTCCTCTCCAATGGAATCACAGATGAACCGTCAAGCACCACAAGCTGAACAAAAGAACGGTCAAGATCCTGGTTTTGGAGCTATCATAAGTCCTATGGCAAGAGTCCCACTTTGCTCTTGGGATGCTCTCCATGCCAGACCTTGCATAGAGTCCCTTCATCCTGCTTCAAGCAGTGGACGTATGAAGCCAATCAATATCGATTTAAATTCATGTTCATCATGCGTTACATACTAATTACTAATCATCATTTGCATCAGATTCTTTCATTTCCATTTCTGAAACCCGCTCAGGTTGTTGGATCTTGGGCTCCATTGCACCCTGCTGCCACGGAATCCCGGACGCCTGCGACTGCTCTTGACGCCCAGCGACCTGCCACGGCTCACGGCGACTGAGACACCGTGGCGGAGAAAAGAAACGGCGCGGGGCGGTCTGAGGTCGTCGTTGCAGGGAGCTGATGGGTGGAAAAGGGAGAGGACTAGTATAGACTTAAGTGAATAGTCTTTAGGAAGCCATGAAGTTTTGGAGATGTTTCTCAAACCCTGGCTGTTGTTGCAGGGGAGTCTCCATTTAAAGACGACTTCAACCTGCAAACAATGCGAAGATCCCCTGCTTTGCAGCACTTTTGCAGTAGTGGATGACGGTTGAACACTTGGGGTAGTGCATCGGTGCTTCATTGGTAATTATTTCTTGTTTTAGAATCGTCAAAGTCATGACACCACAAAATCTGTGACGACAAAGACGACGTAGACCATGCTGCCACAGACTCTTTTGCTGGTGGTGTCAATTCAGTGACTGGCGTTTGGGTATGTTTTTTTCGTGACCAGACTGCTGCTCATGCCGATCTCGGATACCCTTGAGATCCGGAGAGATATAGAGAGATTGAACCTGGGATGAGTAGACAATGAGCACCTCTTGACCGTGAGAGGGGGGGGGTTCCAATGCAGATCCACAAGTAGTGTAGAATTCGTGTGCGGGTATTCCATTGGTTTGGTACCCCCCGTACGGAAGGTGCAGGTCGACATGCAGTGAAGGGTTGAAATGGCCACCCCAACGAAGTGGGCCACTTTTTGTTCATCGGATCTGAGGATGGTGTAGTTGTTTGGTCGGTGTAACGTAGCCATCCGTGGCCCTTGCACAGGTGGTGTTTCCACCTGTCTCCACATGTCCGCAAATCACAGCAAAAGCCAGCTATTCGATCCACATTTCTCGCAGTTGTAGATCTGCGAAAAAGATATGATATAAATAATCGTTTTTTTGTGGGGGTCGCTTCTTCGTCCCGACACCTGTATACACGTGAAAAAAGGAATTCCCAGCCCAGGCACTGTATGCTCACCATACCTGAAGCCTTGACTTCGGCTGGCGCGGTGGGTCCTTCACCGACGGTAAGCGTTCGCGCCGGTTCGTCTTCGGTTCGTTCCGCAGTCGCTGCGGCAGGAACGTAGGGGCCATAGAATCCAAGTGGGCCACAAAGTTTCCAGCAGAATGCAGTTGGGTTTCAAATGGTTTCAGTTATAGGAGCTGGAAAGAGGTGACCAAGAGATGATGTTTGTAAGAATCGAGAGGTGACGAACGGGAAGTCAAGAATGTGGAAGAATCGGAATATTGACCACAGCAATCCATGTGTCCATATTGACCTCAGCCCCGCAAACACCTCAATATAGGTCAAGATGTCATAGGCATGCGGATTTTTTGCGGTTCAGACCAAAGCAATGACACCTCTATGTGTGGACCTGGCCCCAGTGGTACGGTTTCTGTCGGTTTCGAGTGACAGAGAAGATCGGCCGGGGATTATGATTCAATGAAGGCTGGACGAATAGGTGGAGGTTCAAACCGCAAGGGTACCAGTGTCGAAGGGTGAAATACGTTCTGGGCCAAACATCAACAGGGCACGACCGCAAGAGACCGTAGAGGGTGGAAACGACCGCTTCGACGGACGATGCAGAAAGAGACATGTGGTTGACCTGCGAGGGTCCATCTGGGCATGGACCTCAGGGAGGCCTACACTCAACTGGATTTACTAACCCAGACAGGACTCAGGGGACTGCCAGGACGGACTGCCTTCAAAACGGCCAGGGGTGGTTGTTTTGGGGCAGTCCCATGGGTCGTGTCTGGGTAATGGAACTGTCCTGAGTGTCGGGAAGTCGGCACCTGGGACCTCCTTGTTGGGAGCATCCCTCACAGCCCGAGCATCCCGAAAGTGTCATTGCAGGCCATTCTGAGAAGGGCGTTCAACGACAGGCGAAGGCAACGCGGTGCACGAAGCGCGGTGATCGGATCCCTTTTCCTTCGGGGCCCCTGAAGGGTTTGCAAGCCGAAGTTCGAAGACCAAAACCGAAGGCAATCCCTACAAGTCCAAAGGCCCATGTAGAAGCTGTAGATAGAACCTGGTCGTTGGCCTCCTAAGGAGCAAAATGAGGTCATTGACCTGTGGGCAATGGTTTGTAGATGTTTGTTGTGTTTTCGACCGAAACCCACCTCAGTGATGCGGCGCGGTGGCACTGCAACGTGGCGCCGTGGCAGTTGTTTGGGGGAACGGTGGTTTGGAGCGTGATTTGCCACATCTCATCTCCGAGGTCCATGCTCGTCTCGAGCGTGGCGATGGTTTGGTGGAGAGCAGACTTGTTGGACCCTGGGTTTGAGAGCAGGTGTTCATGTGTATTTCCTTGGCCGAATTGAATATAATGATTTCAGATGATGTATCTAAGTCTTGGGAATACATGCGGATTTTCCTGAAATCCACCCGTGTCACACATCAAACACACCTCTTCAGAACCAAACCATACCTCCCCAGAAAGCCAGGCCCATTCGCTTCGCTTCCCTCGGATCGCCCGGACCTCGAGACTGAAGAGCAAAAACCACCGGCACTCCCGGGTGACTCGGGAGTGCCCGATCCGCCCCCGGAGTGCACAGCAAAGTGAGGTCTTTGGGGGGGTTCGGGTGTGGGGAGTTGACCGATCCAGGTTCTGCTGGCTGCTTTGGCGGAGTTGGAGTGCCTCAAGCCCCATGGCCACCACGAACACCGCGCAGCACCGGGGACATTAGGCGGGGTTCCCGGGGAGGGACGTGACGGAACGCCACCGGGTGATCAAAGAATGAAGATGCTACAGGACTGGTGATGGATGATTGACGATTGTTTTTATACTTCCTGAAACCTGGGGAATGATTGTTGATCAGTTTCTTTGCAGATGTTGCTCTTTGTTGCCTCCTTTTCTGTTACTGATCAGCTGTTGTTGATGAAGACATGTATAAGGGTTTTGCCAGCGGCTTTGCCATGTATAGGGAACGAGGTGAAAATCATTTGTCGCATCTCGATTTGAGTTGCCCTTTTCGATGATGTTGGTGCAAGGCGTCGTCCATCTTTGTTTTTGGTGGCCCACTTCAGTCACAAAGTCACAAAGACACCAAAAACTGAGTGCCACACGTGTCTAGAGATGAGTTTGGGGATTGAATTCCTGTTTGCATGGTCAAGCTGGAGCTATGGCGGACATCCTCACCATCCACCTGAATTGTGTTAAAGGATTGAGCATAATGCTGATGTTACTTCACCAGGCATTGGAGGTTCAAAAGGCCCCTGTTCAAAAGTGCTACTGTTTCCTCAGATTTTTGCCAGTCATTTTGCGAGGTGTGGTTGCGTGAAGGTTGGGGAGAATGGCATGATGTCAAAGTGTTTTGAGCACTTTCCCCCAACGCTTTTGGATTATATCATATATCCATATAATATCCCATTGAGCTGCATGCATGTTTACTTTCTCTCAATTCTGCATTGTTGGGGTCCTCTAGTTGAAGGTTTCATGCATGGCCGCTCCGTGTTCCGTTGGCCTCCGTGTTGGTGGACCCTGAACCGCCCCGGCCAAGCCCTCGTTCCCACTGCGACATGTGACTGCGACATGCATTCGTTTGGCTCAGACAGTGAACATGTCAAGACAAGACAGGGGACCTCAAGAATAAATGCTCTTCATGTCAAATCGCAAGTTCATGCAGGGGTCCCGATCTACGATGAGTCTTTTTCTCTGATAAGTTCCGTCGACACAAGCTGGAGGAGGAGGAGTTCACGCCCCCTCGATAGGTCCTTAGATCAACGCCACAAACAAACTTCAGCTGTCCAGCGAAGTGAAGCCGTCGTAGACTAGTCTGCCACTTTTTTGGAAAGAAAATACGTATGACTATAATCACATCCTACGACCATTAGCGACAATATATTGATAATGGTCATAACCATTATGACGTATGACCATTTGCGTATGACCATCGTATGACCATTTATGTATATATATATATACCGTATATCCCCCCAAACCACCTGCGTTCGGCGTGTTTCTTTTCGCGCCCTAAGAACCATCAAAACGAATTCCTCCCCTGCAGATCAACATCGAACCCCCAAAGCCACGACAGGCTGGGGCTATTGAGAGAATGGATCTTCTACGGGTGAATTTCTCTGGTTCCATGTAAGGGTTGCAGAGTCGCAGCTCGGCTGACGCCAAATCCACATCTGAGATGAGAGGAAAACCCCCCGTATCCTGGAGGAGTGGGGTGCACCACATCGCTGGCCACCGAAAAGTGGGGTCAGCACACCAACACGTTCCTATATGATGCACAAGGTGTCGAATTCCCCCCCGAAAGGTTTAGTAGGTGTTTGAAAGGTAGTTCCTGCTTCCGGGATGAATCTCAGCAGCCGTGCAGCCAATGCCTTGACACCAGCCTTTCAGGAAAAGGGACACTTGGGCTAACCGACAGTCTGGATGTCGGCAGTGGGCACACGTTCTGGACTCACTCGACTACTAATTCGAAACGGTGTTCAAGACTTTTTAAGTTGAAGGAATGCATTGCTTTTGGCTCTGATCAGAAAGGTTCAATGACTGTCACCATGACTGTCCAAAACGCTGACGAACTTGAAAAACGAAGACGAATGCCCCGTTGGAATCTTCATTGCAAACGGGGTTAATTTAACAAGGGTCTTTTTTGGCTGCATAGTTACATAGATATATCAACTCAGAGGGAGATTTCTGCAGGTATTTGGTCAGCGCCTTCTTGGATGTATATAGACGCCCAAATAGATAGAAAGGTAACATATGTCAAAATGTATGGGAACCGTTTCTATCTATTTGGGGACCACTATAACTTGTATAAAATCAAAAAGAGAAAGAAAGCGGTTTCCTCCAAATATCCATCGAAAAGAGTGTCTATCCAATGTGCTGCTCTACGTTCTGCTAGCACATCCACCAGTCGCTTTGTGCCCTGGAATAGACCCCGAATCAATGTCAAAAGAAACAATGCACAACAAAACACTGCAGCTGCCTTCGTAGAACTTTGTAAAACACGCCTTTGCTTCGTTCGTGACCGCACAGTATTCCTGGTCCCTCGATGAACCCCTAGGACATCACCGAGCCTGATGAAGCTCAATAAAAAAGAAGCCAGTGCACCCGGTGCACATGGCACTGTAGCTTTGGCCCTCTAGGTGCACGGAAACTGTCTCGCAACCAGAACAAGCACGGCAAATAGCTGGCTTCACATCTTCATAGGCAGGATCCTGCAGGTGCACTTGTTCCAAGGCTTCACCTCTGTGCTCCAAGTCCCCCCCCGAAGTCTGAAAAAGCTTTGGCTCAGGTGAGGATGGAGAGGGCCAGCCAGCCGCTCCTGAGGGCGAGCCGGAGGCGGAGGGCAAGGCTACGGAGCCGGAGCCTGCGGCTGGTGGCGCAGAGATGAAGGACGGAGGGCCTAAGGAGATCTGGGAAAGGTGAAGAACCTGGTCCCTGAAAAAAGAGGTCCCATCCATCATCGACGCCTCATATCTCGATATGGTTACTAATAAGGTGTTATACCTAGCACTTCCAATGGGTGCCCCATCTAGAGGCCTATAAGTAGGGTAGGGCAGTCTCTTGGATACCCAGACAGGATGATCCTGGTATGTATACCAAGAGTTTCAAAGGGGTGCTATCCATGGTGGTTTGGGGTGCCCCTGTCACATCCACTCACTGGATGGGACGAGCCACAGCACCCCCGACCTGTGACCCCTTGGTTCTCACGCTCCAAACCCCCCGGGCCTCTTTTTCGAACCTGGGGAGCGACCGGGGAGCGACTTGTCGTCGTCGGGACCAACCACCCTTCAGCAAGTCAGAGAGACCCTTGGACTTGGAAGACCTGGCTCGGTCCCCGAAATCAACCACCCCCAGCTGAGGAGAAGGAGTCATTATGCACCTCCCGTGGACTGATCGGGAGTCACTATGTTGCATGTGTGGAAGCATTTTTTGTGTTAGCCGAGAAAACACCAGTGACTGGATCCTCCAAACCTCAGTGTCTCCCAGGAGTCGCATTTGGAGGATAGGGGTGCCATTCTCCACTCACTGAGCGACGAACAAACACCCAACTTCATGTGACTCCTGATCCAATCACCTTTGAAGGTACGACTGGATCCCTAGGGTATGGAATAAGGCTGCCTACATTGAAACCAATGTATATATATATATACACTATATACCTACATCTTCCCTCCATGGCCGGTCGCGACCGATCCCCGATACTCTCGGCGTTTCGCTTTGGATCGGGTCGGGCCGGTACCAAAAGCTGCGATGGACGTTCTCTCCACGCGCGGAAGCTCCAGAAATCAAAGGGACGGAAGCCTCAAACGGCCGAGAGAGAGAGAGAGAGTGCTCTCTCAAACGGCCGTGTGCCGCTGGACGGACCGTTGCGCTGGACGCGGTCGGGCGGTCGGGCGGTCCTCTGCGCCGCGGTCCTCGGCGTCCCCGCTTCTTCGCATTCGCTTTTTCTTCGTCCAGGAGGAAAAGGAGGGCACCACGAAGGTCCCGTTGTCCGACGCCTCAGACGAAGAGAAGAAAGAGGCGCCGGACGAGGCCGCGCGGTTGGGGGTGAGGGGGACGGGGAGGAGGGACTCTGATATGGTTTGAGGGCCGGGTTCTGTTCTAATATGCTCTATGGCAGGGGTGTTTCGATCGTTCATTGGGGTTTGCTGCTCTGGTCTTTGTCTGGCGGCGCGACGCGGAGCCTTGGGGCCTCCGCCTCCACAAATGAGACCCCCAAATGATTCGGAGCTGTGAGTATGACAAGGTCCGTGAGGGTCTGGGACTTGCCGGGAGACCCAGAATGGTCGAGCTGTCAACCTTTCAGAAGTGTCAGTGGAAGCTTCCACGCCTTTCTTCCCCTACCTAGCCTACCTCTCGTTCAGGAGGAGAAGGCCTCCGAGGAGGAGAACTTCGACAAGGCCACGGAAATGGCTGGCCTCCAAAAGTTCAAACTCAAGGGGAGTCTCGGCGAGTGGGAGGAAGTTGTTGGGGGATCCGATTGATACAGATTTGGGTCGTGTTGCTGGAGCTCCAGCTTGTGGATCACAGGGGCTGTCTCTACTAGTAGATTCTTGCGTCTCCAGGGGGTCTTGAACAGCGGAGGAGATTTTCCAGGGATCCCGCGTTGGTCAACGAACAGTTGGTGTTTGGGGGTGTTTGATCCTTACGCTTTCAGGATTCTTCAGTGCTGTCCAGTGTTTGTGTGATGCTGCACCAGAGCATGGAAATTCAGAAGACCACTACTCCACCAGGCGGCCGAAAGTACGCCAGGGGGTGTTTGCCGAAGGTACGGGTTTCGACCAGTCAACATGGTCAGAAAATCGCCCGCACGGAGTGGTTTTTGTATGATCTTCCGGTCAGCTTACCCAGTGTCACCCATTGCGGGGATCATTTTTGGTCGGACCATGGGATGCCCTGCCCTGTCCTTAAAAACATGAGGTTGGCAAAAAGTTCCCAAAGAGAGGTGGACAGTGTAACTTTAACGGTTCTGAAGGATCTATGGGAAAAGCGTTTAAACTTTGTTGCTGGAAAATCGACAGGGTTGGTACACGCCGTTCCCGCTCCTTCACTTCCGCTTGCCTTTTCCACCCATTAACCCATGCAGATCGCATGCAGAACGGGCGCTCGGTCGCACTGAGGAAGTTGAGATCAGCACAAAGCGAGGCGAGTTCGATCGCTGGGTGAGTTCTGTCGCCGACGGTCGGACGGTGCGTTTGGTGAGACGGTCGGTCCCGAACCCGAGGGGTCGAAAAAGGTACCAAGACCTGAAGCATTAGCACAGACTGTGACAAATCAGGTGGATGTGGGTTCAAATCACCAATCTCTAGGTTTTGAGGGACCAGTTGGGCTGTGTTCACGGAGCAGGTGGATTTGATCAAGCCGTCGTCAGCCCATATGGGTGTGCGTTGGAACAGGAAGACCCGGTGAACCAAAGAGATTCGTCGTTGATCCTACCAGCGGGTCTGGCTGGCGAGACCTGTCCGAAACAGCGACCCATTTGGTTCAAATGAAATGAGGGTGACTCACTGGCTGATGGGTCTTGGGATCATCACTGGCCACGGCCACAGAAGGTGCTGGCTTTAGAAAAAGTCCGGGACCAGTGTCATCGACCTCATCGACCGAAGGGGTGTCTGAATTCTGGGAACGGCAAAAGCCAATCGATTTGGCTTGGCTGATCTTTTGTGGACCCTTGCACGTGTGACTTGTGAGGCTATTCACAAAACTCACACAATGGCAACCTGCAAACCCTGATGGTAAAAGAGCGCAGGGTAGCAACATCCCACCTTAGTGACCGTCACGTTTTCCGAAGTGACCGTCACGTTCGCACAGACTCTTTGCTTCGAAAAACAGAACTGTTTTGAGTGGAGCAATACTGAGCAGTCCCAACCCAATGACCAAACAAATTTTAGAGGGCAAGGGCCAGGGATCCTCAACACTCCATACCATATAGATCCATATAGTATCTCCAACAGAGGTTGAAGAACTCTATGGGACCATACTGGGATACCTATGGGACAGTCAAACTAGGGCTCTGAGAAACCTTTGTTGCTTTGTTTCTGCCAACGTCTCGGGGAGGATGCAGAAAGCGCTAGTCCGCGCTGCGATCGAATCTTGGAGAGATTCTGCCGGCCGGGGGGGGGAGACGATGTGCTTCATGCCTGGTTGAGAGGGGCATGGCAAAAAAGCAGCTGAAGAGATTGTTTTGTTGGGCAAAAGAGCAAGAACAAGCCATTTAATGGTTGTTATGAACTTGAGAACCCTGCCAGCCACCATTTTGGAGTTTTATGGTAGCAAGCGGTCAAAGGTAGATGACCTCAGTTGTTTTCAAGTTGTGCATGTTGCTGTACCTCTTTCTTGTACAGGATTGTAGACTCCAACGTGCTTGCTGTTCTTGCTGGGATACACTGGAGCAGTTTGGATTTGGGATACAGTCAATGTGTTAAGATCTGTCAGGTGTTGTTTTAGACACACAACAGTGTCGACACAAAACAAGCTTGGAGGTAAAGTGTGACATATGCTGATGCTCTTCATGGCTACCCAAGCTTCCTTCTTCCAGAACAAGAGACACCCAAGGAAGAGACGAACTGGGTTTAAAACATTTTAAAACGTCATGCACCAGACTGGGAGACTCCGTATTCCGAACACCAAAACCGGCTGTGGTTCCACCAGGTTCCGGTTCAACCGGTCTTCCAGGCCGGTACGAGCGACATGACGAGCGTCCGTCATCCGCGGTTCCAGGTCGGTCGAACGTCCGTCCTAAACGCCACGGTGGTCCGTCGCGTGCAGCGAAGGATGAACGAAGAAACGGATGTCCAAAAAGGTCAAGACGGCAAAAAGAGTATTTGATGGTTCTGTTGTTTTGGTTTGTAAGAAAAACAGAATTACATCAGCATAGACCCAGATAGTTAGGCAGAATCCCACGACCTGTTGACATGAGACTGGCTGGAACAAGAATGTACGCAGCCTGCACAGCCAGCTTACCACAGCACGCGCAATCAGCTGACACCAGCGCCGGTGCGCTTTGCCAGCTGAGAACACCGGCAGCGGCGCCAGCACCCAACCCGCGCCGCTGCCCGTCTTGAACGCGCGCGCGCAGCCAGCTCACAGCACCAGCACCCAGGACCACAACACCCAGCACCGACACCCTTTCGAAAGCGCGCGTAGCCAGCTCATTCTTATTTGCAGCAGGAACCCCATAGCCATCCCTATTTTGGGAATAACAATGTATGATCTTGCGCATATAGGTTTATGCGCGCAAAAGTATCCGCGCAAACAGCAAGGCCCGTAAGTGTCATTGGCCCAAGGCCAAGCAGTATCCAGCGCCACTACTGACTTTGTAGCATGGTTGAAGCAACGATCTGCAGAACGATAATAAGGCCGTATGATCTTGCGCGTATAAGTTTATGCGCACGAAAGCATGCGCACCAACGGCAAAGCCCGTAGGCTTCACTTGCCTAAGGCCAAGCAGTATCCAGCACGACTATTGTGTGTGTAGCATGCTGAAACATGCTGAAACAATGGTCGGTTGAGAGCCTGACGTTGCGCATAGAACATTATACTTACAAAAGTACGCGCAAACAGTTCAGCCCTTGACACAGCTGTCGGCCATAAACAGAACCTGAAGAGTGTAAATACACCACAGCGCATAGACAAAGAACGGTCAAGCGACAACACCGTATGATGTTGCGTGCATAAGTTCATGCGGCCCATGACTGCTGGCACCCAGCACCGGCGCCCAGTCTCCACCCCGCGCACTGCCCGCTCACAGCGCCGGCACTGCCGCCCGCTGTCTCACCCAGCACCGGCACCGTGTCTCCACCACGCGCACAGCCAGCTCACAGCACCCAGCACCAGCACCACAGCCCGCACCAGCACCCGGCACCGGCGCCCAGCACCGGCACCCTGCGTCCACCACGCGCACACCCAGCTCACTGCACCCAGCAGCAGCACCACAGCCTGCGAAGACTCGATATTCCTTAATACCGGCCTTTAAGATCTGTAAGAGACAGACAAAAACGACAGTGCACAAACGGCTGACAAAAATGATCTCTTCAAATCAAATCGCAGCTTTCGAATGCGGCTTTCTCAACTGTGCATTCTCTGCTCCCTTCTATTGTGTCCTCCTCGCAAGTGTCACGTTCTTTGAACAATGATCAACTCACTTTTGAAAGCACTCATGGAATTCCAAATGTACAGTGCAAACATGCACGTAAAAACAGCTTTAGGAAAAATTCCGCTCCTTCTGCATCTCAAGCCGTGTGTTTGTGGTCAAAAACAATGCGTCGGCATTGCAACCTTTAACAACAAGGTTCTCCTCAGAACTTGCTTTAAAAAAATCATCTCTGTACACTTGCTTCGTGGTTGGTCTTCTGTCCAAAGCAAATCGCTCCTTTCTGAGAACGTATCGTCCTATTTCAATTTCTTCAAGACAACAAACTCCACGCACGCTTCAGTTGGCAATCCTCGTGGTTTTCAACCGCAAGCTCTCCAAAATGTATATGTGTTTGTCTTTGTCCATCACTGCTCCGCAAGTACAACTAGACGAAAAAAACAGTTGTCCAGGATTCGAAGGTTTCACGGTCAACAGCAAGTTCAGACAAAAATTGCACACAAGTTATACTTATTGTCCTGAATGTTTTGCTTACAAAAATGTCAAGATGGTGAGCTTGAAAACGAACAGAAAGACATAGACGCAATGAACTTAATATGTTGTGGTCGATACGCCTATGAAGTTGGTGTATATCTTTCACACAGCCAGCACCAGCACCCGGCGGCGGCACCCAGCACCGTCTGAGAAGCGGGCGCGGCCAGCTCACAAGAACCCCATAGCTGTCGCTATCTGGGGAAAAAAATCCTCTCCACCAAGGGCGCAGCCAGCACCCACCACGGGCACTCGGCACGGAGCCAGCACCCTGCACAGCCAGCTCACAGCACCGGCACCTAGCACCGGCACCCTGTCTCCACCACGCACAGCCAGCTTACAGCCAGCGCCAGGCGCCCTGTCTCCACCAGCACCCGGCACAGGCACCACGTGCACAGTGCACAGCCAGCTCACAGCACCAGCACCCGGCTCCCTGGCACCCTGTCTCCACCACATGCACAGCCAGCTCACAGCGCCAGCACCGACCAATGAGTCGGATCCTCCAGCCCAAATGGAAGGATTTGGAAGTGCTCGGCAGATCGACAATGCCCGCAACCTGGGCACTGGGAAGGTTTGGACGACTCGCCAGCGACTCATCGACTTTTTAGGCGCGGTCAGCGATATGCAGGAGAAAGAGCAGCGCGACTCTTCGTTGAAGAATCTCACAGAGATAAGTTGGGCTTTTGGCCTCAGTCCGCATGGGAACTGTGGAAGCCAATCGGCATCATCAGGCCATCATGAAAATTGTGCGTGACACAGCGTGGCATATTCAAGGAGCAGGCCAACACACGCGGACAAGTTTGAAAGAAGTTCTCGATCATGAACCCGGGAAAGGTGATTGGTCAAGTGGAGCAGGGTGGAGCGAAGTCAAATGAGTGCCTGTCTGAGATTGTGACCATCTTGAAATCTATGGACGAGAGCCTCAAGAGGTTGAATGAGAACATGCGGCAAGAGAAAACACCACCTGTTCCTCCAGCTGTTGCGCCTTTGACACCAGCAAGGGAAAAAGCGGGTGAGGGAGTTCAGGCCAAGCTCATGCCGAGTTGTCAGGCTCCACCACCACCGCCACATGTGCCAGGTCTGATTGCAGGAGCATTCCCGCCAGTGCCACCGCCGGGAACGGCAGCCACTAGCGCAACCCCTGAACCAGCATGGAGCGCGCGTCCAAATCGATTTTTCAAACGCCTGAAACTTCAGGATGGTAGCAGTGTACGGATGCTATGAGGCTCTAGGTGACTTGAAGAATTTCGATAAGCTCCAGTTGAACCGGGGGTGTAGCACCCTAGGTATCTTGTGACTGGAGGAGTTCGATTCGTCCGAGAAGAAGGGGAACAGAGTTGTGCGCTTCAAGGGGTTTGGATTTGAAAGGGTCTGTATCTAGTGTCTGTTTCTTCTTTTGCCACCTTGAGAGATGTGATTCTTGCAGGTCCAACGTTTTTCACATCACAGTTAACTTGCCAGGTTGCAGGATGTGTGGAGAAGGTTCAAGCACCGGCAACAATTCTTGAAAGCGCACGCAGGCAGCTCATTGTTATTTGAAGTAAGAGCACCACAGCTTCGCTATCTTCGAAAAAGATCCGAAAATATGCCAGCTACACCACCAGCACCGGCACCCAGCACCAGCACTCCACCACGTGCGCAGCCAGCTCACAGCACCAGCACCAGCAACCTGTCTCCACCACGTGCACAGCCAGCTCACAGCACCAGCACTGGCACCCGGCACCAGCACTGGCACCTGTCTCCACCACGTGCGCAGCCAGCTCACAGCACCGGCACCCGGCACCCAGCACCGGCACCAGCAACCTGTCTCCACCACGCGCATGCACAGCCAGCTCACAGCACCAGCACTGGCACCCGGCACCAGCACTGGCACCTGTCTCCACCACGTGCGCAGCCAGCTCACAGCACCAGCACCAGCACCGGCACCAGCAATCTGATTCCACCACGTGCACACCAGCTCACAGCACCAGCACCGGCACCCAGCACCAGCAACCTGTCTCGAAAGCGCGCACGGGCAACTCATTGTTATTTGAAGTAGGTACCCCATAGCTTCGCTATCTGGGGAAAAACACATGCAAGTAACTGCAAGTACCCCTGATATCCCCTGATTTTGCTCCAGGTGATGTTGTGTTTTGTGTATGTTTGTCCAAGAGCGTCTCTGAAAGCAAAGCAAATCCACTCACGAAGCTCTCGATTCTGGTCGAAGTGAATGTCTTCAAATGGGGAGGCTGACCCCGTGAACGACCCCTCCTTAAGAAGAAGACACATCCACCAGCTTACCCATCTGCCAGGGGGTCTCCCGGACCTTATGTCTAATCTACAGACTTATAGACTCAAAATGAGTCGAACATGGGGCAAATGAAAATGTATGTATATGTTACACCTCCAGTCCCATTCGTTAGGACCCTTGGATCCCCCCTCTACATGTCTCGTTCGAAGCTCTCCGCCCAGGAGACGACGCCGCCAAAGCTCCACCGCCCGACCGGGGCCCCTTTCGCCGGCGCGACGCGCCCGGGCGACCAGGGCGCGGAAAGGTCCTGGACCGTTCGCGGCGGCGGATGGACGATCGGGAGCTGATGCGCTTGGCGCGGTCCGTGGACGACGAGGCAGGTCCGTGTCACACGCGAGGTCCGTGGGTGCGGGAGAAGATACACTTCTTGGGATAGAAGCAGGGAGAAGGTTCAGAGTAGATGAATCATTTCATCATCTTAATCGAATGACAGTTTTTGTTCATCACTGTCGTTCAGGATTCATATCTAGCAGTGTGTTTTGATTCGGGCCATCGAGTAACTGAGTAACTTACCCTAAGGGCTGTACCTTGGGTTGGCGTATGTTGGCGTCACAGTCACTTGGAGTGTAGCAATTCTCCAAGTGACAGGGCCCCAGCAGGCCCAGTCCTGGTGGCTAGCATTCCCAGACCAGACTTCATGGGACTGGCAATAGTTGCCGTCCCGGGTCAGACTTTCGCATGGAATTTGTTGTTTTCCATTTCGGAGTCTTTTGGATTGGAGCTTCCATGAGGGACCTCGCTGACTGCAGGGCTGACCATCCATCCATGGGACTGGAATAGTTACATCCATGCCGGTGGGGCGTGTTCCGCCGTGTGTCTACACGGCGTCGACGCGTTTGATTCGTTTGGACCCTCCATCCTTTACGGGGTGGCGGGACCGTGAACGGGGCGCTTTGGGGTCGCGGGACCGCTGGTTTCCAAGCGCGGCTTCCATGCGACGGACCGGAGATCGCATGGCGGCACAAGATTTTCTCAGGACACAGGGGCTCGTCTTAGCCATTTT